TTACTGGTAACAAGCTGCGTACTCTTAAATGTTGTGTTTCCTCGTGGCCGTCCTCCTTCCACCGTAACCGGAGGTGGGAAACAGCTCTGGCGAGGTTGCATATTGGCCATACTCGCTTAACCCATGGTCACTTGATGGAGCGTCGCCCTGCTCCTTATTGTCCTAGTTGCATTGTCCCTCTTACGGTCGTGCATGTCCTTGAATGTCCTGATTTCCAGGACGAGCGTGTCTTGCTTTCCGACTGCCCCTCGCGGTCACCTGTCCCTCGATAGAATTCTTGGTGACTCGGATACTTTTGATATCGTTCGCCTTATGCGTTTTTGTTCTCGTATTGGCATCCTTGGTGATATTTAGCGCCCTCTGATTATTTTGCGTATTTGATGGTGCTACATAGCCTTCCCGGTTTGGTGCCTTCTTTTGATAATTACTTACTTACTTGAGCACTTTTATTCGCACTCTCGCTCCGTTTCCATCTTTACCGATGGGTCTAAGTCTACGAACGGTGTTGACTACTCTGTTGTTTATCTTGACCACCCACACACACACACACACACAATATTTTTGGATTGCCAGAAAGCCTTTGATACAGTACCACACAAGAGGCTAGTGAAAAAGCTGGAAATGCAGGCTGGAGTGAAAGGGAAGGTACTCCACTGGATAAAGGAGTACCTAAGCAACAGGAGACAACGAGTCACTGTGAGGGGTGAAGTCTGTGAGGAGTGGCGAGACGTTACAAGTGGAGTCCCGCAGGGGTCAGTCCTTGGACCAATACTGTTTCTGGTATATGTAAATGATCTCCCAGAGGGTATAAATTCGTTTCTCTCAATGTTTGCCGATGATGCAAAAATTATGAGGAGGATTGAAACAAATGAGGATAGTAGGAGGCTACAAGATGACCTAGACAGATTGAGTGAATGGTCCAACAAATGGCTGTTGAAGTTCAACCCGAGTAAATGCAAAGTAATGAAACTAGGCAGTGGAAACAGGAGGCCAGACACAGGATACAGAATAGGAGATGAAGTACTTAAAGAAACAGAGAAAGATCTTGGAGTTGATATCACACCAAACCTGTCTCCTGAAGCCCACATAAAAAGAATAACGTCTGCGGTATATGCGAGGCTGGCTAACATCAGAACAGCGTTCAGGAACCTGTGTAAGGAATCATTCAGAATCTTGTACACCACATATGTAAGACCAATCCTGGAGTATGCGGCCCCAGCATGGAGACCATACCTTGTCAAGCACAAGACGAAGTTGGAAAAAGTCCAAAGGTATGCTACTAGACTAGTCCCAGAACTAAGAGGCATGAGTTATGAGGAAAGGCTGCGGGAAATGCACCTTATGACACTGGAAGACAGAAGAGTAAGGGGGGACATGATCACAACCTACAAAATCCTCAGGGGAATCAACCGGGTAAACAAGGAAAGACTATTCAACACTGGCGGGACGCGAACAAGGGGACACAGGTGGAAACTTAGTACCCACATGAGCCACAGAGACGTAAGAAGAAACTTTTTCAGTGTCATAGTTAACGGATGGAATGCATTAGGCAGTGATGTGGTGGAGGCTGACTCCATACACAGTTTCAAGTGTAGATATGATAGAGCCCAGTAGGCTCAGGAACCTGTACACCTGTTGATTGATCTGTTGAGAGGCGGGACCAAAGAGCCAAAGCTCAACCCCCACAAGCATAAATAGGAGAGTACACACACACCAGGAAGCAGCCCGTGACAGCTGACTAACTCCAAGGTACCTATTTACTGCTAGGTAACAGGGGCATTCAGGGAGAAATTAGAAACTTTGCCCATTTGTTTCTGCCTGGTTCGGGAATCGAACCCGTGCCACAGAATTACGAGTCCTGTGCGCTATCCACCAGTCCCCCTGGTACATGTGCATGAGGTGGTAAGGGGGGGCGGGCAGGTGGTCATGAGGGGTAAGGGGGGGGGGGGGCAGGTGGTCATGAGGGGGGTGCAGGCAGGTGTGCATGAAGCAGATAACATGGTCAATGGTCCACACACTCACAGTACAAGCACCAGTGTGGCCAGTAATCACACGGGTGACCACACAGGTGTCGTCGCCTGTGGCCACAAGCACCTGTACAGCCCCCCCCCCCCCAAAGCCAGCCGAGAGTGTACGGGCTATTCATGCCCGTGCCACCTCTTCAGTGAATTAACCTTCATCAATCAAGCCTAGAGTGAACAGTTAGCCTATTACCCAGGCTCATCAAGGCCGCCCTAGCTGCTAGCTGCTTCAATTCACCATTCTAATAGGGCAACGAAGTATGGGAACCAAATAATGGATTCTACCTCTAAATAATTACAAAAACAAACGGTTTAGTACTAATAAGTCGCATTTTTAACGGATTAATCCATTCAAAATTCAAAAAATTCAAAATTCAAATCCAATTCATCAAACAATGGAAGGAATTGAGAGGTTGAAAGAGGCATCCTCTCCACCCTTCAAACCTCCGTCAATTACTCTCACAGCTCTACCTTAATTGGTCCTCTCACTTTTAATACGTCGCATTCGTTATACGGATCAACCCTTATGAAAACGCATTTTCCCATGACTCGGCCTCGACAGGTTATATAGGTGGGTTGCTGGGGTAAGTTCGCACGAACTTACATCGTAGTTGTAAACTTGTGTCACTTTACACAGCGGCAAACCTCAGACAAAATAAATTTGGATTTGAAATGTGGTGGTGGTGTCCGTTGTGGCGAGATAACGGTAGACCGGAAAGTTGTTGATATCTGGCGGAGGGGGGGGGGAGGTTATACTGTCACATACAATAGACAAAATAAAGTGTTGTTGGTTATACTTGGTTGCGTAATTATAGGGAAGGTCATGAGGGGCGGGTAATTATAGGGAAGGTCATGACGGCGGGTAATTATAGGGAAGGTCACGAGGGCGGGTAATTATAGGTCATAAAGGGCGGGTAATTATAGGGAAGGTCATGAGGGCGGGTAATTATAGGGAAGGTCATGAGGGCGGGTAATTATAGGGAAGGTCATGACGGCGGGTAATTATAGGGAAGGTCATGAGGGCGGGTAATTATAGGTAATGAAGGGCGGGTAATTATAGGGAAGGTCACGAGGGCGGGTAATTATAGGGAAGGTCATGACGGCGGGTAATTATAGGTAATGAAGGGCGGGTAATTATAGGGAAGGTCACGAGGGCGGGTAATTATAGGGAAGGTCACGAGGGCGGGTAATTATAGGTCATGAAGGGCGGGTAATTATAGGGAAGGTCACGAGGGCGGGTAATTATAGGGAAGGTCATGAGGGCGGGTAATTATAGGGAAGGTCACGAGGGCGGGTAATTATAGGTCATGAAGGGCGGGTAATTATAGGGAAGGTCATGAGGGCGGGTAATTATAGGGAAGGTCATGAGGGCGGGTAATTATAGGGAAGGTCATGACGGCGGGTAATTATAGGTCATGAAGGGCGGGTAATTATAGGTCATGAAGGGCGGGTAATTATAGGTCATGAAGGGCGGGTAATTATAGGTCATGAAGGGCGGGTAATTATAGGGAAGGTCATGAGGGGCGGGTAATTATAGGGAAGGTCGTGAGGGGCGGGTAATTATAGAGGTCATGAGGGCGGGTAATTATAGGGAAGGTCGTGAGGGCGGGTAATTATAGGGAAGGTCGTGAGGGGCGGGTAATTATAGGGAAGGTCGTGAGGGGCGGGTAATTATAGGGAAGGTCATGAGGGGCGGGTAATTATTGGGAAGGTCGTGAGGGCGGGTAATTATAGAGAAGGTCGTGAGGGGCGGGTAATTATAGGGAAGGTCGTGAGGGGCGGGTAATTATAGGGAAGGTCATGAGGGGCGGGTAATTATAGAGAAGGTCGTGAGGGGCGGGTAATTATAGGGAAGGTCGTGAGGGCGGGTAATTATAGGGAAGGTCATGAGGGCGGGTAATTATAGGGAAGGTTATGAGGGGCGGGTAATTATAGGGAAGGTCGTGAGGGGCGGGTAATTATAGGGAAGGTCATGAGGGGCGGGTAATTATAGGGAAGGTTATGAGGGCGGGTAATTATAGGGAAGGTCGTGAGGGCGGGTAATTATAGGGAAGGTCATGAGGGCGGGTAATTATTGGGAAGGTTATGAGGGCGGGTAATTATAGAGGTCATGAGGGCGGGTAATTATAGGGAAGGTCGTGAGGGCGGGTAATTATTGGGAAGATTATGAAGGCGGGTAATTATAGGGACTCAGCCTCAGGACTACGAATCCCAAGCGCTGTCCACTCAGCTGTCAGGCCCCCTTATATATGCGTGTATGTATGAATGTATGTATGTATGTATAAGCGTCTCCGAGACGTATTAGCTATTGCCCACTGGTCACCGCTGTGTCAACACAATTACTCACACACCCTCCGTCACAATGTGATGGAGTGCGAAAATATACGTGAATTTAGACAACAACTCCATAACAAATGTCCAAGAAATGTGTAAATATATAATTAAAAATAAAATTTTAGCCAAATATCGCCAGTTTGCTAACTGTAGGTAGTAACTAAGTGATTGTAACCTATCCACCGCTGCCCACTGGATGGGGGGCGGTGTGCAGGACAAACATATCAATTGTGACACTAGCTCTCCACATATGTCAGTTGCTTAATTTAGAAACTGTACTTGTGGTCGATCTCGAACCCATTGTTGATGTGACGACTTATACTGAATGTTGTAACTAGCTCATCAAGATTGTAACTTGCTTAGCTAAATGAATTGTGGGGTTCAGTCCCTGAACCCATTATGTGCCTCTGTAATCCGCCCCACTACCGGTCACAAGCTCATGGTCCCGGGTTCGATTCCCGGGGTGTTCACCTAGCACTAACTATGCCCCCCCCCCCTGGGGTTAAACTAATGTGGGTTATATCACGGGGGAATCCCAGTATAAATACGCTGGCCATTGTGAATATAACCGGCCACCGGGAGCAAGATAGCGCACAGTTCCCACGAAATTTTACATCCGGTCACTATGGCAATAACTGCCACAGCTGGCCACCTGCACCTCTCACTCACTCACTCACCACCACACGCGAACGCACGCACACGCGTAAAAACACACCCGCGCGCGGACACCAAATGCACGGACACGCACGGATAAACTTCCCTGTAACACGAATATACGCTATACGGGAGTGTGTATAGCGACGTGTATACACTCTACGGGAGCGTGTATACTCACACGTGTATACACTACGGGAGCGTGTATACCCACACGTGTATACACTCTACGGGAGCGTGTATACGCCCACGTGCATACACTCTACGGGAGCGTGTATACTCACACGTGTATACTCTACAGGCGCGTGTATACACTCTACGGGAGCGTGTATACACTCTACAGGAGCGTGTATACACTCTACGGGAGCGTGTATACACTCTACAGGCGCGTGTATACTCACACGTGTATACACTCTACGGGAGCGTGTATACCCACACGTGTGTATACCCATGTTGACAACACCGCCTTGACGAGGCTATAGGAGCGTGTTGTGGGAAGATATACCAGTGTATATGTGGCGTGTGTGTATATGGGGCGAGTTATAGCGGCCCGGTTGATGCTGTGGGCACCACCATCCAGTGACGGGACGTGATCACGTCATGATGGGTGAGTATTACCTGGAGCATACCTGTAGGGGATCTCCAGAGTCCTGCTACTCCCCCGAGCCCGGCCTGAGGCCATGTGACTAGCGCATGACAGGTGTGTGTACTATGACTGACTCACCTAGTGCACGTGACAGGTGTGTACTACGACTGACTCACCCTAGTGCACGTGACAGGTGTGTACTATGACTCACCTAGTGCACGTGACAGGTGTGTACTATGACTCACCCTAGTGCACGTGACAGGTGTGTACTATGACTCACCCTAGTGCACGTGACAGGTGTGTACTATGACTCACCCTAGTGCACGTGACAGGTGTGTACTATGACTCACCCTAGTGCACGTGACAGGTGTGTACTATGACTCACCCTAGTGCACGTGACAGGTGTGTACTATGTTTAGGGTGTCGACACCTTACATGTGTGTGTTTAGGGTGTCGACACCTTACATGTCTTACGACACCTTCATTTACTCCAGTACTGACCCTCTTGCTCTAAATGCCACAGTAAATACTGAGCTAAATAAAGTCCATCTTTGGCTAACTGCCAACAAACTCACCCTTAACATTGACAAAACTTTCTATATTCTGTTTGGCAATAAATCCTCTAGTCATATAAATCTCAAAATAAACAATACCCAAATTTGTAACAAATTAGATGGCAAATTCCTTGGCATTCTCATTGACCACAAGCTGAATTTCCAGGGACACATTCTAAACATATCAAAAAAAGTTTCAAAAACTGTGGGCATTCTTTCTAAGATCAGATATTATGTACCACGCCATGCCCTGGTGACTCTCTATTACTCCCTTATCTATCCATATCTCAACTATGGTATTTGTGCTTGGGGCTCTACTACCCAAAATCACTTACGTCCTCTAATTACCCAACACAAAGCTGCTATTAGAACAATATCCAACTCTGGCCCCAGACATCACTCGGTACCCCTACTCAAATCTCTGAATATGTTAGATATTAAGTCTCTGCACATTCTCTCATGTGTATTATACATATATAAAACGCTAAACTATAATGCCAATCCTGATCTTAAAAGCTTCATAGAAGGTTGTAACAGAACCCATGAGCACCACACCAGAAATAAATACAGTTTTGATATTCCTAGAGTACGTCTTAATCAAACTAGAAATGCTCTGCAAATCAAGGGGCCCAGAATGTGGAATGACCTTCCCAACCATGTTAAAGACTGTACCTCTCTCAACCAGTTTAAGATAAAAACTAAACACTACCTAATAAATTCCCTGTAACCTACCTCACTCCTCTATTGTCAACCCATGTCTGTTATTTTCTTTTTTTTTTTTTCTTTTTTTTAATCAACACTGTTTGTCAACCTATTGTATTTGTGCTGCTTTTTCAGTCATGTTCCCCCTTTTTTTATCTTTATTTGTATTTGTTCTCAACACTTTTTATTCTTTATGCTCAATTAGTATTAAGTTCTAGATATTAATGTTTTTCTTGCCCGAAACGCATTGCGTAATAGTGGCTTTAGGCATTGTATGTACTAGCTCTATCTATATATCAATCCATTAATGTAACATCACTTGTATGTATATACCTTACCTGAATAAACATCTGAATCTGAATCTGAATCTGAATGTGTGTGTTTAGGGTGTCGACACCTTACATGTGTGTGTTTAGGGTGTAGACACCTTACATGTGTGTGTTTAGGGTGTTGACACTTTACATGTGTGTGTTTAGGGTGTCGACACCTTACATGTGTGTGTTTAGGGTGTCGACACCTTACATGTGTGTGTTTAGGGTGTCGACACCTTACATGTGTGTGTTTAGGGTGTCGACACCTTACATGTGTGTGTTTAGGGTGTAGACACCTTACATGTGTGTGTTTAGGGTGTCGACACCTTACATGTGTGTGTTTAGGGTGTCGACACTTTACATGTGTGTGTTTAGGGTGTCGACACCTTACATGTGTGTGTTTAGGGTGTAGACACCTTACATGTGTGTGTTTAGGGTGTAGACACCTTACATGTGTGTGTTTAGGGTGTAGACACCTTACATGTGTGTGTTTAGGGTGTAGACACCTTACATGTGTGTGTTTAGGGTGTATATATACTTTAGATGTGTATGGTCACAGTACATTTAAGGTGTTATTTAAGTATTGTGTGTAACACAGCCCCGCTCCTGTGCCAGGTAAGCTACGGGCTCACCATAGCCCGTGCTACTTGGAACTTGTTCTGAGTAGCTTAATCTGTAACAACGACAACCAGAAACGTACAGACACATCTGTTTAGCCTGACGAGCACCGGATGCACCCACCCTGACCATGCCTGTGATCCCACACCATTAGGGTACCTTAACGGACTAAGTAATTATCAAAAGAAGGCACCAAACCGGAAAGGCTATATAGCACCATCAAATGTGCGGGATAATCAGAGGGCGCTAAATATCACCAAGGATGCCAATACGAGAACAGAAACGCATAAGGCGAACGATATCAAAAGTATCAGAGTCACCGAGAATACTATCGAGGGACCAGTGACCGCGAGGGACGGTCGGAAACAAGACACACGCTTGTCCCGGCAGTCAGGACATTCAACAAGGATATGTACGACCGTAAGAGGGACAATGCAATTTGGACAATAAGGAGCTGGGTGGCGCTCCATTAAGTGACCATGAGTTAAGCGAGTATGGCCAATACGTAACCTAGCCAGGGCCGTTTCCCACTGCCGGTTACAGTGGCAGGAGGAATTCCACTGGGACACTTTAAGACTCTTAAGAGTACGCAGTTTGTTACCAATAACAAAAGACCAACAACTCTGCCATCGGGCAAGAATGGAGGCATGAATAACTGGGTAAAAGTCGGAATAAAGAACACCTTTATGGGAGATGGGACAAGCGCGGAATAGCTTCCTTAGCGGCAGCATTCGCACGCTCATTTAAAGAGACACCAACATGGCTGGGAACCCAGCAAAACGCAACCGACTTAAATTTACTGGAGATAAGAAACAGCCAATGTTGAATCTCGATGACCACAGGGTGGACTGGATTAAAGGACCCTAAAGCCATGAGGGCACTACGAGAGTCAACTACCACCACGAAGGAGGATTGCCCCCGGGAAAGCAGGAGACAAAGAGCATAGAGAATAACATAGAGTTCTGCTGTGAAGATGCTAGCCTCCGGAGGAAGGCGACACATATAAGTGTGGTCAGGAAAAACAACAGAGTAGCCCACGCCGTCAGCAGACTTTGACCCGTCGGTGAAGATGGGAACGGAGTAGGAGTGAGAAGAAGAGTGCTCAAGGAAGAGGCGTTTCAGAACTGTAGGAGGAGTAAAAGCTTTAGTGATGCGGGTCAGAGAAGTACAAAATTTGGGAAGGGGGACCCTCCACTTGGGCAAGGGTGGAACAATACGAGGAAAAACATTGGTAATATGAACTGAAAGAGAATCCTGTAAGCGAGACAAATGGACAGAAAGAGGAAGGAGGTGAAGAGGAACAGGAACTACAGGAGGTGTAAAAGTCAGGATGAAGGTCAAAGTACTTAGTCCACATAGCAGGACCAAACAAAGCATGGTATGAATTAGTACGGGAAAGGAGCATACGAGAGCGACCGTGGCGGGGACGGTGGTGAGAACCTCTAGAGAGATGGGTCATAAGGCACAGTAGTCACAATAAGAGATGGAGCCACGCAAGAGGATGAGACGGTCATCACAGCAGGCTTGGGGCTCGACCCAACCACAGAGGAGGGAGGGGAGCAGGGAGGAAGTGTCCGGTCTGGGCCTAAACCTAGCCCTGTAGCAGGGGCTACAGAGCCCGGTCTTCCAGGACGGTCCAACTCAGGGGCCTGGTCGCCCACCCCATGAGCCTGGGTAAGAGAATTCATGTCGTCATCCATGCAGCAAACAATTTCAAAAGTTTGGGACCTGGAACCAAAGGACACCTACCAGGGCAGCCAGGGAGGCCGAGCACGGGCCAGGGCAGGAAGGGTGTGTCGTCCCCAGCGGTGCTCCCCCTTTTCAACAGGGGAGTCCTACTACATCGACCAATCTCCCACACTGGTGCTAAGACCCCATTTCCCCTATTGCCCTAACCTGGACACCCAACCATCCACTCAGGGCGGCCTCTCACAGGCGACCTCTCCAGCGGGTGGTCCGATGGCTCACAAGGCACCTACGTGGTGCCCATCAACACGTACACCACCCAAAGAGGGGGCACAGGCAACCCTCACCGGTCGCAGGGAGGTGTACATGAGCCCCTCACCACGGCAAGGAGGCACCACGGAAGGGCCCCAGACACCAATCCGCCCTCCAAGGGGTGCCCCCTGTCATGGATGACCCCTCCAACATGTGGTCTCATGACCGCAATAGGTAACCTATGTTTGTTTCATTTCACACGTTGAGCACCCGGAGAAGGTGCAGAGGGCCGAGGCAACCCCTGCTGGCCCCCAGACAGTCATACATGACCAGATGAGGTCAGGAGAGAGGGAGCTGGGCCAGGGCAACTCCCCATCAGCCCCAGGGAGTCATGTGTGAGCCCTCAGTCATTACCACAAGGCGAAACTCTTGAGGTGCAAGCTTGGACAAAAATACAAGTTCATACTTGTGTATGGTTAGTTACAACAGGTTGATACTAGTGTATGCTTAGTTAGAACAGGTTGATACTTGTAAACACTAGGACAGATGGACGGGTTCCTAGTAGTGAACACTTAAGACTTGTCAAACTGCTAGTGGCAGAAAGATAAATAATCTTCCAGAAGTGCTGCAGCGACATCCTGTATATCTCATAATACTGTATCTCTGATGTTCCTGCAGAAGGTATACCATTCTAATACAGTATATTTTTCTCTGGATACTGCACTGTTCTAACATATATTTCCTTGCATGCTGCAGAGGGTGGACACATTGGCATGTGGATGGGGGCTGTGATAGCCGTGGTGGTGATCGTGGCGATGCTGGTGGTGTCCGCCTTAGCAGTGAAACGACTGAGGACCAGACATGCCCAGAAACATCCTTACCAGGGGTACCGGGTGGTCGGCACCGAACCTGTGAGTTGCAATGTCTGCTTCTTGGCCCAGCTTGTAGAAAGGAAGGGGAAGAAGGGAGGGTTAGTGCTATGCTTTGATAAGCATTAAGTGAGTTAGTGCTGTGCTTGTAGAGTGGGGGGTGGGGTTTGTGCTGTGCTTGTAGAGTGGGGGGTGGGGTTAGTGCTGTGCTTGTAGAGTGGGGGGTGGGGTTAGTGCTGTGCTTGTAGAGTGGGGGGTGGGGTTAGTGCTGTGCTTGTAGAGGAAGGGGGGTGGGGTTAGTGCTGTGCTTGTAGAGTGGGGGGTTGGTGTTGTGCTTGTAGAGTGGGGGGTGGGGTTAGTGCTGTGCTTGTAGAGTGGGGGGTTGGTGTTGTGCTTGTAGAGTGGGGGGTGGGGTTAGTGCTGTGCTTGTAGAGTGGGGGGTGGGGTTAGTGCTGTGCTTGTAGAGTGGGGGGTTGGTGTTGTGCTTGTAGAGTGGGGGGTGGGGTTGGTGTTGTGCTTGTAGAGTGGGGGGTTGGTGTTGTGCTTGTAGAGTGGGGGGTTGGTACTGTGCTTGTAGAGTGGGGGGTGGGGTTAGTGCTGTGCTTGTAGAGTGGGGGGTGGGGTTAGTGCTGTGCTTGTAGAGTGGGGGGTTAGTGCTGTGCTTGTAGAGTGGGGGGTGGGGTTAGTGCTGTGCTTGTAGAGTGGGGGGTTAGTGCTGTGCTTGTAGAGTGGGGGGTGGGGTTAGTGTTGTGCTTGTAGAGTGGGGGGTGGGGTTAGTGCTGTGCTTGTAGAGTGGGGGGTTGGTGTTGTGCTTGTAGAGTGGGGGGTGGGGTTAGTGCTGTGCTTGTAGAGTGGGGGGTGGGGTTAGTGCTGTGCTTGTAGAGTGGGGGGTTAGTGCTGTGCTTGTAGAGTGGGGGGTGGGGTTAGTGCTGTGCTTGTAGAGTGGGGGGTTAGTGCTGTGCTTGTAGAGTGAGGGGGTGGGGTTAGTGTTGTGCTTGTAGAGTGGGGGGTGGGGTTAGTGCTGTGCTTGTAGAGTGGGGGGTTGGTGTTGTGCTTGTAGAGTGGGGGGTTGGTGTTGTGCTTGTAGAGTGGGGGGTGGGGTTAGTGCTGTGCTTGTAGAGTGGGGGGTGGGGTTAGTGCTGTGCTTGTAGAGTGGGGGGTGGGGTTAGTGCTGTGCTTGTAGAGTGGGGGGTGGGGTTAGTGCTGTGCTTGTAGAGTGGGGGGTTGGTGCTGTGCTTGTAGAGTGGGGGGTGGGGTTGGTGCTGTGCTTGTAGAGTGGGGGGTGGGGTTGGTGTTGTGCTTGTAGAGTGGGAGGTGGGGTTAGTGCTGTGCTTGTAGATTGGGGGGTGGGGTTAGTGCTGTGCTTGTAGAGTGGGGGGTGGGGTTAGTGCTGTGCTTGTAGAGTGGGGGGTTAGTGCTGTGCTTGTAGAGTGGGGGGTGGGGTTAGTGCTGTGCTTGTAGAGTGGGGGGTTAGTGCTGTGCTTGTAGAGTGGGGGGTGGGGTTAGTGCTGTGCTTGTAGAGTGGGGGGTTGGTGCTGTGCTTGTAGAGTGGGGGGTGGGGTTGGTGCTGTGCTTGTAGAGTGGGGGGTGGGGTTGGTGTTGTGCTTGTAGAGTGGGGGGTGGGGTTAGTGCTGTGCTTGTAGAGTGGGGGGTGGGGTTAGTGCTGTGCTTGTAGAGTGGGGGGTTGGTGTTGTGCTTGTAGAGTGGGGGGTGGGGTTGGTGCTGTGCTTGTAGAGGAAGGGGGGTGGGGTTAGTGCTGTGCTTGTAGAGTGGGGGGTTGGTGCTGTGCTTGTAGAGTGGGGGGTGGGGTTAGTGTTGTGCTTGTAGAGTGGGGGGTGGGGTTAGTGCTGTGCTTGTAGAGTGGGGGGTGGGGTTAGTGCTGTGCTTGTAGAGTGGGGGGTGGGGTTAGTGCTGTGCTTGTAGAGTGGGGGGTTGGTGCTGTGCTTGTAGAGTGGGGGGTTGGTGCTGTGCTTGTAGAGTGGGGGGTTAGTGCTGTGCTTGTAGAGTGGGGGGTTGGTGCTGTGCTTGTAGAGTGGGGGGTGGGGTTGGTGTTGTGCTTGTAGAGTGGGGGGTGGGGTTAGTGTTGTGCTTGTAGAGTGGGGGGTGGGGTTAGTGCTGTGCTTGTAGAGTGGGGGGTGGGGTTAGTGCTGTGCTTGTAGAGTGGGGGGTTGGTGCTGTGCTTGTAGAGTGGGGGGTGAAGTTAGTGCTGTGCTTGTAGAGTGGGGGGTGGGGTTGGTGTTGTGCTTGTAGAGTGGGGGGTGGGGTTAGTGCTGTGCTTGTAGAGTGGGGGGTGGGGTTAGTGCTGTGCTTGTAGAGTGGGGGGTTGGTGCTGTGCTTGTAGAGTGGGGGGTTGGTGCTGTGCTTGTAGAGTGGGGGGTTGGTGCTGTGCTTGTAGAGTGGGGGGTGGGGTTAGTGCTGTGCTTGTAGAGGAAGGGGGGTGGGGTTAGTGCTGTGCTTGTAGAGTGGGGGGTTGGTGCTGTGCTTGTAGAGTGGGGGGTGGGGTTAGTGTTGTGCTTGTAGAGTGGGGGGTGGGGTTAGTGCTGTGCTTGTAGAGTGGGGGGTTAGTGCTGTGCTTGTAGAGTGGGGGGTGGGGTTAGTGCTGTGCTTGTAGAGTGGGGGGTGGGGTTAGTGCTGTGCTTGTAGAGTGGGGGGTGGGGTTGGTGTTGTGCTTGTAGAGTGGGGGGTTGGTGCTGTGCTTGTAGAGTGGGGGGGGTGGGGTTAGTGCTGTGCTTGTAGAGTGGGGGGTGGGGTTAGTGCTGTGCTTGTAGAGTGGGGGGTTGGTGTTGTGCTTGTAGAGTGGGGGGTGGGGTTAGTGCTGTGCTTGTAGAGTGGGGGGTGGGGTTAGTGCTGTGCTTGTAGAGTGGGGGGTGGGGTTAGTGCTGTGCTTGTAGAGTGGGGGGTGGGGTTATTGCTGTGCTTGTAGAGTGGGGGGTGGGGTTAGTGCTGTGCTTGTAGAGTGGGGGGTGGGGGTTAGTGCTGTGCTTGTAGAGTGGAGGGTGGGGTTAGTGCTGTGCTTGTAGAGTGGGGGGTGGGGTTAGTGCTGTGCTTGTAGAGTGGAGGGTGGGGTTAGTGCTGTGCTTGTAGAGTGGGGGGTTGGTGTTGTGCTTGTAGAGTGGGGGGTGGGGTTAGTGCTGTGCTTGTAGAGTGGGGGGTAAGGTTAGTGCTGTGCTTGTAGAGTGGGGGGTGGGGTTAGTGCTGTGCTTGTAGAGTGGGGGGTGGGGTTGGTGCTGTGCTTGTAGAGTGGGGGGTGGGGTTAGTGCTGTGCTTGTAGAGTGGGGGGTTGGTGCTGTGCTTGTAGAGTGGGGGGTTGGTGCTGTGCTTGTAGAGTGGGGGGTTAGTGCTGTGCTTGTAGAGTGGGGGGTTGGGTTGGTGCTGTGCTTGTAGAGTGGGGGGTTGGTGCTGTGCTTGTAGAGTGGGGGGTTAGTGCTGTGCTTGTAGAGTGGGGGGTGGGGTTGGTGCTGTGCTTGTAGAGTGGGGGGTTGGTGCTGTGCTTGTAGAGTGGGGGGTTAGTGCTGTGCTTGTAGAGTGGGGGGTGGGGTTGGTGCTGTGCTTGTAGAGTGGGGGGTTGGTGTTGTGCTTGTAGAGTGGGGGGTGGGGTTAGTGCTGTGCTTGTAGAGTGGGGGGTGGGGTTAGTGCTGTGCTTGTAGAGTGGGGGGTGGGGTTGGTGCTGTGCTTGTAGAGTGGGGGGTGGGGTTAGTGCTGTGCTTGTAGAGTGGGGGGTGGGGTTAGTGCTGTGCTTGTAGAGTGGGGGGTTGGTGCTGTGCTTGTAGAGTGGGGGGTTAGTGCTGTGCTTGTAGAGTGGGGGGTGGGGTTAGTGCTGTGCTTGTAGAGTGGGGGGTTGGTGCTGTGCTTGTAGAGTGGGGGGTGGGGTTAGTGCTGTGCTTGTAGAGTGGGGGGTGGGGTTAGTGCTGTGCTTGTAGAGTGGGGGGTTAGTGCTGTGCTTGTAGAGTGGGGGGTTGGTGTTGTGCTTGTAGAGTGGGGGGTGGGGTTAGTGCTGTGCTTGTAGAGTGGGGGGTGGGGTTAGTGCTGTGCTTGTAGAGTGGGGGGTGGGGTTAGTGCTGTGCTTGTAGAGTGGGGGGTGGGGTTAGTGCTGTGCTTGTAGAGTGGGGGGTGGGGTTAGTGCTGTGCTTGTAGAGTGGGGGGTGGGGTTAGTGCTGTGCTTGTAGAGTGGGGGGTGGGGTTGGTGTTGTGCTTGTAGAGTGGGGGGTGGGGTTAGTGCTGTGCATGTAGAGTGGGGGGTGGGGTTAGTGCTGTGCTTGTAGAGTGGGGGGTTGGTGCTGTGCTTGTAGAGTGGGGGGTGGGGTTAGTGCTGTGCTTGTAGAGTGGGGGTGGGGTTAGTGCTGTGCTTGTAGAGTGGGGGGTGGGGTTAGTGCTGTGCTTGTAAAGTGGGGGGTTAGTGCTGTGCTTGTAGAGTGGGGGGTTGGTGCTGTGCTTGTAGAGTGGGGGGTTAGTGCTGTGCTTGTAGAGTGGGGGGTTGGTGCTGTGCTTGTAGAGTGGGGGGTTAGTGCTGTGCTTGTAGAGTGGGGGGTGGGGTTGGTGCTGTGCTTGTAGAGTGGGGGGTTGGTGTTGTGCTTGTAGAGTGGGGGGTGGGGTTAGTGCTGTGCTTGTAGAGTGGGGGGTGGGGTTAGTGCTGTGCTTGTAGAGTGGGGGGTTGGTGCTGTGCTTGTAGAGTGGGGGGTGGGGTTAGTGCTGTGCTTGTAGAGTGGGGGGTGGGGTTAGTGCTGTGCTTGTAGAGTGGGGGGTTGGTGTTGTGCTTGTAGAGTGGGGGGTGGGGTTAGTGCTGTGCTTGTAGAGTGGGGGGTGGGGTTAGTGCTGTGCTTGTAGAGTGGGGGGTGGGGTTAGTGCTGTGCTTGTAGAGTGGGGGGTGGGGTTGGTGCTGTGCTTGTAGAGTGGGGGGTGGGGTTAGTGCTGTGCTTGTAGAGTGGGGGGTTGGTGCTGTGCTTGTAGAGTGGGGGGTTAGTGCTGTGCTTGTAGAGTGGGGGGTGGGGTTGGTGCTGTGCTTGTAGAGTGGGGGGTTGGTGCTGTGCTTGTAGAGTGGGGGGTTAGTGCTGTGCTTGTAGAGTGGGGGGTGGGGTTGGTGCTGTGCTTGTAGAGTGGGGGGTTGGTGCTGTGCTTGTAGAGTGGGGGGTGGGGTTAGTGCTGTGCTTGTAGAGTGGGGGGTGGGGTTAGTGCTGTGCTTGTAGAGTGGGGGGTTGGTGCTTTGCTTGTAGAGTGGGGGGTTAGTGCTGTGCTTGTAGAGTGGGGGGTGGGGTTGGTGCTGTGCTTGTAGAGTGGGGGGTTGGTGTTGTGCTTGTAGAGTGGGGGGTGGGGTTAGTGCTGTGCTTGTAGAGTGGGGGGTGGGGTTAGTGCTGTGCTTGTAGAGTGGGGGGTGGGGTTAGTGCTGTGCTTGTAGAGTGGGGGGTGGGGTTAGTGCTGTGCTTGTAGAGTGGAGGGTTGGTGTTGTGCTTGTAGAGTGGGGGGTTGATGCTGTGCTTGTAGAGTGGGGGGTGGGGTTGATGCTGTGCTTGTAGAGTGGGGGGTGGGGTTGGTGCTGTGCTTGTAGAGTGGGGGGTGGGGTTAGTGCTGTGCTTGTAGAGTGGGGGGTTAGTGCTGTGCTTGTAGAGTGGGGGGTGGGGTTAGTGCTGTGCTTGTAGAGTGGGGGGTGGGGTTAGTGCTGTGCTTGTAGAGTGGGGGGTTAGTGCTGTGCTTGTAGAGTGGGGGGTGGGGTTGGTGTTGTGCTTGTAGAGTGGGGGGTGGGGTTAGTGCTGTGCTTGTAGAGTGGGGGGTGGGGTTAGTGCTGTGCTTGTAGAGTGGGGGGTTGGTGCTGTGCTTGTAGAGTGGGGGGTGGGGTTGGTGTTGTGCTTGTAGAGTGGGGGGTGGGGTTAGTGCTGTGCTTGTAGAGTGGGGGGTGGGGTTAGTGCTGTGCTTGTAGAGTGGGGGGTTGGTGCTGTGCTTGTAGAGTGGGGGGTGGGGTTGGTGCTGTGCTTGTAGAGTGGGGGGGTTGGTGTTGTGCTTGTAGAGTGGGGGGTTGGTGCTGTGCTTGTAGAGTGGGGGGTTGGTGTTGTGCTTGTAGAGTGGGGGGTTGATGCTGTGCTTGTAGAGTGGGGGGTTGATGTTGTGCTTGTAGAGTGGGGGGTTGATGTTGTGCTTGTAGAGTGGGTGTCGGGCTGATACCTGATAAGCTAAATTTTCCTGAAATACTATATTTTTCATTTTTTTTGTTTATTATGGAATGATAAAACTTCCCACTGCATTATAAATGATTTGAATATTTTTTGAGTTTGAGTCAAAACTAACATAGAAATTTGATCAAACCTAACCTAACTAAGTCAGTAAATCATGTCCCTAATATATTATTATTGTTAGAAAATAACGAATTTTAAAAGCAATATTTGAAAATAACGAAAATCATTCTGCCTGTTAGGCCAAACATACATTGCATATTAGGCCAAGTAGTACCCAATAGGAGACTGTTGCATAAGTTGGAGACACAAGCTGGAGTAAGTGGTAGGGTGCTCCAATGGATAAGGGAGTACCTAAACAACAGGAAGCAGAGAGTTACTGTGAGGGGTGAGACCTCAGACTGGTGTGATGTCACCAGCAGAGTCCCGCAAGGTTCTGTATTCAGATCTATCCTGTTTGTGATATAAACATGAATGATCGCACATCATTCGTATAGGTATAGGTATGATATACCTTCCTTCTGGAAGGTATATCATACCTTCCAGAAGGTATAGACTCATTCTTCTCAATGTGTGCTGGTGATGCTAAAATTATGAGGAGTAAGACAGAGGAGGACAGCAAGAGGCTACACGATGACCTGGACAGACTGAAGGAATGGTTTAACAATAGCTATTAGAGTTAACTCAAGCAAGTGCAAAGTGATGAAGATAAGTGTAGGGAGCAGGACGCCAAACACAAGATACCAGCTGGGAGAGGAAATCCTTCAGGAGTCAAGACAAGAGAAAGATCTGGGGGGTTGATATCACGCCAGACCTGTCCCCTGAAGCCCACATCAAAAGGATAACATTAGCAGTGTATGCAAGATGGGCACATATAAGAACTCCCTTCAGAAACTTGTGTAAGGAATCATTCAGAACCTTGTATACCTCATATGTCAAGACCAATACTGGAATATGCAGCTCCAGCATGGCGTTCACATCTAGTCAAACACAAAACGAAGTTAGAAAAGGTTTAGAGGTATGCCACCAGGCAAGTCCCCAAGTTGAGAGAAATAAGCTATGAGGAAAGATTACTGGAACTGAACCTCACAACACTGGAAGAGTTAGGGGAGACATGATCACTACCCACAAAATTCTCAAGATGAATTGACAGGGGTAGATAAAAATAAACTGTTTAACACATGTGGTATGCGAACAAGGGGACACAGGTGGAAACTGAGTACCCAAATGGTGTTCCAATGGATAAGGGAGCAACAAAAAAACAGAGTGTTAGGCTGAGGAGAGAGACCTCAGAATGGTGAGGTGTCCCAAGTGGAGTCCCACACAGTTCTGTTCTCCAACCTAACCTGTTTCTGATATATGTACAATTTCCCAGAGGATATAGACTCATTCCTGTCAATATTTATTTTAGATACTAAAATTATGAGAAGGATTAAGACAGAGGAGGACAGCAAGAGACTACAAGATTGTAACAAACTAGGCTGGTTGTAAGAATTATCCAGAGTGGTTTATCGACAAAAGAGAATGGGAAGCTGAGCCCGCATGGTGACCTGGGAACCTGACCCCAGGGGAATTCGCGGTGGAAATAACCGATGCCTTGTTCATAGCTGCGTATCATCATCCTATAGTATTCAGTAATTTAGAGAAATTAGCCTTTATTCATTTTGTATTAAAATTGTATTGTATAACAGTACTGGGTACAATATCAAGAGTATTCTAATTATTGAGTTTAAGTCACCATCAGTGACGTCACGAATCAGATCTAACTTGTAAGGCGGAGTGACCGGCGGTCATAGGTCATCAGGGTTGACATGTCTACTATTTCTCAAAGTTCAATTAACCATTTTGGGGATCGGGAACAGCTCTGCCGTTAGATGTTTGTGTAATTTAATTTCAGTAAAATAATTCAACCAGTCTGGATCAATTAAGTACAACAGAGGTTAATTGTTATAACTTAAACCTTGCTAGTAACTTGGTAGAACTTTGACTAGGCGGAAGGATACAATGCTCTAGTCTGGGGTAGACCAGACGAGGAAGAGATCAGTGTGGACTCCAGAGCAACTGGGAGAGGTCAACCATCTTGCCTCTCCCCAAGACCAGCCCAACATCTTTAGCTGGTAAAACATAGAGGTATAGTTGCTATTGTTATGTATAGGAGTAGTCTTCTCATTTGCCATTCAGGTCAAGTAGGGAGTGTTAAAGTGACAGGGAGTGAACATATTTAGATTTTGTTTTAGTTTTCTTTTAATAAATTAAGTAGTTAATATTTTGCATTTTTATTGTTTCCATTTGGTTATGTTTACTTGTCCTGGTCACGTGGTCCACACGAGGCAGAGTTGGATTGGGCGCCGATTCTAACATCGAATCGGAATTCATCATCCCCATCTAATTAATTCCACACTCAAGTTTCCGAGGTTATAAACTACTAGTGGGGATCAAGCCCCAAGGTTGACTAATTCGCATGATCGATCCAGACCTCGATCATTGCTGTGTTACTGGTCTGGTGGTGGCGGCGGAGGCGACTCTAGGGTTTTGCTCAAAGCCTAGGTCACGTCATACTGGGTGTAGAATCCTAAGTCGGTCAATCGTCTTAGGACCACGTGGCGTGGAGTTGGCTTTGGTAAAAGTTTTGGAGTCCCTTGGTAGAGAATAAAAAGTAAGAATACGGGTAGAGGGGTAATAGAAGGAGAGATTAAGTAGAGAGAAACCCTACCCCGTGTTACAAGATGACCTGGATAAACTGAAGGAGGGGTCCAACAAATGGCTACTAGAGTAATGAAAAGTAATGAATATAGATGTAGGGAGGAGGCCAGACAAAAGGTACCAACTGGGAGATGAAATCCTTCATGAACTTGGAAGAGTGAAAGATCGGGGTGGGGGGTTGATATCATGCTGAACCTGTCCTCTGAAGCCCACATCAAAAGGATATCATCAGTGGCATATGTGAGGCTGGCCAACATAAGCAGCTTGTAAAATCCTAAAAAACCAGTATTGAATGTAATGAAACGTCAGGTTCTTGGTGAGCTATGGAGGCTCCCTGAAGCTATCCAAACTGATATACTGTATTACAATATTAGTTGGGGTCATCAGTCAACGAGTCCATATGCCTACTGGGGACCACGAGCCAGAACCTGGCCCCCTCATAGAGGTGCAAGGTGCAATGGCCTATGAATACTTTACATTTAAAGTTTGTCAAACTTGCCACTGACCAGGTAAGGCACCCAGAAAGGTAGGTGAACCGAAACAGATCACTAGTTGAAAATTGCAATCTATATCCTCAAATGGGCAAATGAACTCCCCCAGAAAGAAAAAAATATGCAACACTTTGTCCAACCAGCCCCTTGTTCATTAGTGCCACCTTCCCCCCCCCCCTGCGGGGAGAGGAGGAGCCAGCAACCCATCAATTCAGTTACTGACTAGAGGGAGGGAGGGAGGGTGTCAGGGAGCCGCCGAGGCTCACCCAGAAATTAGAGTTTCATTACACTCGATGCTGGTTTTCTGTGGGGAACCCCGTTGGCTCCCTGAAGCTAACTAACTATCCAAAGAGAATGAAAACAGGGACTTACCAGGAAGGACATACAATCGGGACATACCAATAAGCGTCCCAGAAGTCCAGGGACACCATCCAAGTGCCCGGCTCTAACAGGAGCTGAACCAGGGAATATACTTGTGGAAAATACTGGACTGCCAGGTCCCAAATTTACACATTAAAATAACAACATAATGGAGAGAACGATACAGAAGAAAATGAAGAATAGAACCAGTGAAGAGCAAGGGTGCCATAGGCACAATCAGAGAACACTGTATGAACATCAGAGGTCTACAGTTGTTCAACATACTCTAGTGAATATAAGGAATATTGCTAGAACAAACGTGGACACCTTCAAGAAAAAACTAGATACTGCAGTTTTCTTCAAGAAATGCCAAACCAACCAGGCTGTGGTGGATATGTGGGCCTGCGAGCTGCTCCAAGCGGGCCTGTTGGACCAAGCTCTCAAGTCAAGCCTGACCCCGGGCCAGGCATGGGGAGTAGAACAACTGCCTGAACCCCATCCAGGTACAATCCAGGTAAGTATTATTCAGAACCTTGTATAACTCTTATATCAGACTAATCTTGGCTACCTGCTGGATATCTGCTGGATGGGGTTCTGGGAGTTTTTGTACTCCCCAAGCCCAGCCCGGGGTCATGCTGGACTTGGAGTATCCGACTCCAGTGTGAAGTCCATATCTAGACAAAAAGAGATGAAAGTTAGAAAAAGTTTGAAGGTATATAGTACCACCAAACTGATACCTGAGCTATGAAGAAAGTCTACTGGAATTGAACCTCACATCACTGGAAGACAGAAGTTATGGGAGACATGATTAAAACCTACAAAATTCTCAGAGGAATTGACAGGGTAAATAGACAAACTATTAAGCATGGGTGGTACACAGATGGAAACTTAGTACCGAAATGAGCCAAAGAGATGTTAGAAAGAATTTTTTCATTTACAGTAGTTAACAAATAGAATGCATTAGGAAGTGATGTGGTTGAAGCAGACTCCATACACAGTTTTAAATGTAGATTTGAAACAGTTCAATATACTCTGGAACCTGTACACCAGTTGATTAACAGTTGAGAGGGGGGATAACCACCCCCCTCCCCTCTTGCAAGCACAACAAGGTGTGTACTCACCTAGTCATACTTAAACACACACAAATACTGGCTTCCTGTTCCCCAATGAAACAAATTATTAAATATTATTACTATTATTACTGTATTGTAACATAGTTCAAACAAATAGCCTAACCCACATGTGAATTGACCGACGATGTTTCGGCCTGTCCTGAACCCTTATCATCACGTTTATTTCATATACACCTGTTGGGTTATTTGGTATTATATAGCTTACAGCCTAGATTAATTGTTATTAAAGGTCAAAACAGAGTAAGCTCTTCAGTACTGTATATATCAATTAATAACAAGTACAGTAGATGGGATATTTGACATAAAAACTCTTCAGCCCTTGCCTCATCAACTAACCTATGTCTTCCAGCTGTACGAGAGGACGCAGCAGGTGGCCGTGCCAACGCAGGTGGGCATAGGGGCACGGGGGGGTACACCAACAGAAGTCCAAGAGTCACAGGCCGAGAAGGATGATGAGGTAGGGATGTGTGGCCGCACAGCCTCAACGGGCTCAATAGGACACTCCTGTTTGAGCTTGTTAACACACGCCCATGCGGACTCGTTAGGGCGCACCCGTGTGGGTTCATTAGGAAGTGCCCATGTGGACACATTGGGGCGCTCCCGTGTAGGGTCACTAGGAAGCGCCCATATGGACCCATTAAGACGTGCCCGCGTGAGTTCATTAGGACGTGCCCGGTTGGCATCATTAGCGCAGGCAAGCTCACCGGATGGCAAGCTGGCTGTCTGGAACCCAGTCTCAAGGGCCAAGTCTGCTGAGTGTCTAACAGAGAAGGTGAGGAATGATATGTCTGGCTTTATACAAGCTGTATAGACTACATAGCATGGCCTTATATAAATAACCACTTTTTGTGTATACTTTCCTTCAAATTTATAGTACACTGTACTTAACTGACTATGTCAAATTCCATTTACTCTACAACTTAACCATTGAATTTCAATATTCACAAACAGAGTGCAGTATGTCCAATTTGTTATTTAAAATAAAGTATACACACACCTCTGTCTTCAAATTTGCAAAATAGTCATGAGTCTACATGCAAATGTAATTAAATCTATAATTGATATGATTTCTTTTATGTTGCACAGTCACTTCTGTAGGGTTTTTCCCATTTATTTACATGCATGTGTACTTTTCCACATACATAAGCAGGAGACCATAGAGCTGCCTACTGGCATGAGGCAGCAGCCAAGCCCCTTATCCTCCACCAACTCCCTGGACACCCTGACAGGAGACCAGGATACAATCACAGATTCCCGCCGCTACTTCACCCTCAAGGTAAGTCATTGTAAGTGAGGAGCAGTACAATCAGGTTTGTTCTCAACTTACAATCAAACATTCTGAGTTCAAATCCCAGGTTGGACAGAACAGGTTGAGTGTATTTCTTTTACCTAATGCACCTATTCACATGCCAGTTATTAATAGCTCAACTCACACGCATGAATTTGAATGACAGTGACGACATTCAGTCTGCCCTAGATCCTTTGTTTAATTTTGGCTAAATGTGTCCTTTTGTTAGTACACTAGCTGACCAAATATTTTTAACCTGAACTAGTAACCTTTGTTCTCATGGGCACCTTCCACGCTATGAAGCTTAGTCATATTAAGTACTTGCAGATGCAAAATGCATTCTAAAGGTCAAGTTTCATTATTTCCATGGTATACTCCATTACTTTTTAATAAGTAATATTCCATTACTTTCCAGGTATACCCAACTATTGTTAGTATAGATTAATATCAAGTGATTATTTGTCAGTTAATTAATTCTCAACCTAACTCATAATCTAAGGCAATTATTATTTATGAAGATCCAATTAACAATTTGTCTTCGAGGTACGTGCACGTGGTCAATCATTTTAAGGTTAATTTGCTCTCACCATCACTTCATCTCTCCTTTCTCCTCCCATCACTTCCCCTTCACCATTACCTATTACTCTTATCATCATTCCGTGTGTTTCCTCGTTACAGCGTGGACCATTCGTAGAGTTCACAGTGCAGTGGGCGAGCAGCACAAGTTGTCTGAGTGTGTACGTGGTACGTCTGACTAGCCTGCCACCCAAGTATCACAAATCCAGCTGCACCCTCACCCTCTCCCTCACCAGTCCTCATAAGGAGGGAGGGGGTAACAAGATCATCACCAAGACCTCACCCCGGCTCAGAAATGCTAATCTTAACCCCGAGTGCAACTACCTCTTCTCCTACCAAGGTTCGTAATATGTGAAGAGAAAAAGTCACATCATGGCTGAAAATTATTAAGTCAACCCATGCATAAGGATGGAAACTAACAATGTTACAGTCCAGACTGAATCTTTATCAAGACTTGATATGGGTCCAGGATGAACTGAAATGTCATCACTTGCCTTTCATTTCTCATGTAGGTTGGGTTATTGGTACGTATTATATGTATACTTTTCTCCACTCTATTAAGTAATTACATTAGTAGTCTAAATGCTCAGTCTGCCACAGCTTATAGACAAAAGGGATTAATAATGATTTACCATGCAAGTTGAAAAAAAAATAATGATCTCTCTTTGGTGTTCCGACAGATATATCCCTGGAGCAGCTTCGTGAGAGCATGCTGGTGCTGGGTCTACTGGTGCGTCGCAGCAAGCACCTGCTCAACAAGCAGGTGGGGGAGTTGCATTATGCCCTAGGAGAGGCCCACCTTCACCCAGACACTCCCCGTACAGTCACTGAACCCATCACACTCAAGAAGAAGGTCATATAATTATGCATTTGTATTTTTATCTTCAGCAGGCACTATAACTAAATGCAGCAGCTCTTTTTCTATATTGTGCATACGTACATAAATCCATACACTTATTAATACATGCACACGTGTGTGGATATTCATTTAAATAAGACCACAGACAGCAAAGGAATAGATTTTGTAATTGTAATGGATCCTTGACAAATAGCACAATGTTCCAAGAGCAACTTGATAAACCTTTGGTGGCTGACACACAATTCATTTTACTCAAGCACATGACTGATAGATAAAGTTACTTTTTACATATATATCTATTACTTATTCAATATGAACAATTTACAATTCACCAAATCTAATAATTAAGTTTCTTGAATAAGACTAGATTAATATGGTTGACAAGAATAAACAAATTTTGTACAAGTTTTGTTCATTGATTCTTTGATTTGCAGGAGTCAAGTCCATGGTCAAGTGTGAGTGGAGGAGGTGGAGAGGGGGTGTGGGGCCAGGTGCAGGTGATGGCCCAGTACCAAGTGACGGGAACCTTACAGGGACGGATCAAGGTGGTCATTATCCGAGCTCAAAGTGTTCTCATTGGCAAGGTGAGCTGCAGTGGCTGTACACAAAGGAACTTTACTGGAGTATGGTCAAATCACATGCAAGACAGTTCGACAAAGCTAATTTTTCTAGTCAATACCGTATATATAGTTAGATTAGGAAGTAAAAGCCTAGGTTAGGTTATATTTGGCCTGATTGGGTTAGCTTAGGTTGGTTTGGGTTAGGATAGGTTTGGTTGAGTGAGGTTAAGTAGGGGCTAAAATCTGTTGGCGAATTGTCTTGTGAACGATACGATTTGTATTCAATTTGCCTCGGTGCCAAGTGTGTGTGTGTGTGTGGTGACTGCCAGTTTGTAGCCATAGAAGTAGAGGCTGTGATTTTCATGTCCTAACATCTACATTTATCACAAATGCTTTTCCATTGTCCGGCAGTTTTGACGCACATGGCCTCCTGTTGAGTTCAATTCAACCATTTGCAACTGAACAATTTTCTTCACTTCTTTTTCTGTATGAAATGTTTGTTTATTATATGGTCTCCCATATTCACCATATGGTTTCTCACAGCAAGGGACAGGAATCTTTTAGACCTAGTGAGGTCACCTATAGATTCTGATGGCCACCTCCTTCCACAGGATGCAACCCACAACAGTTGCCTAACTCCCAGGTGTCTACTTAATGCTAGGTAAACTGAGGTATTATATGTAAGGTCCCCCTCGGCTGGGGGTGATAAACCAATTGCCCGCATTTCAAATGTAATACACGTAACTATTTAGTTACGTGATTACTGGGTTATGATTAACCCAGTAATCACTTTTGTTGTCATGCATACACAGTTATTGGTCGTCTAAGCAATGTTCTTTATGAATTCAGCCTCCAACGATGGAGGTAGAACTACTCCCCCCATGCACCAGTGTGCATGATGGCAGTACATGAAACCCCTGAGTGGGCCTCAGTGGAAGCCTCAGGACCCCTAGAGGATTCAGTTAAATCCCAGGTTGCACTGCTTTTGACCATGTCGTGGTGCAATGGTCTAGGGCATGGGCTTGAGAGTACCCAGGTTGCAGGTTTGAATCCTCCTCGTGGCTCCTGAATTTTTCATTGATACATCATGGTAAACGTGATTTCATTGCTCTTATTTATTATTATTAACAAACAATTTCAAAGAACCCAATTAGAATGTTGAAATATTATGCATTTATATTTTGTATAAAGCCACTAATCACATGAAGCACATGGGATGTAAATTAAACTAGCTGCCGCTGGTGTCAACAATCATACCAAGAGCCAGAAGAAAAGGCAGAGGCACAACCGTCACAATAAACAAAACATGAAGAGCAGACTGGCAAAAGTTGTGAATTATATTAGCGAGTGATGAGGAGCTTTCAGAATGTGGAAATAACAGTGGACCACATTTCTAGTTATGGCTGTACTTTGTGGTGTACAGGACATGATTTGATAAGGGTCCAGAATCGACCAAAACATGGTCACTCTCCTTTCTTTTCAAGTGTGGGTTGGGTTAATAATTTTCAGCCGTGTTATTGTGACATAATCTCTGCAAAGAACATGGGGCCCAGGTGCAGGTGATGGCCCAGTACAAAGTGACGGGAACCTGTACGGTTCCCGTCACTTTCCAATAATTCTTAACAAGGTTCCCGTCACTTTCCAATAATTCTTAACAAGGTTCCCGTCACTTTCCCATAATTCTTAACATGGTTTCTTGCAGCAACATTAAAGAAAATTATTATCTGCATGAGACAGCAGCAGACAGAATATGTGATAATGCAAGAAAAGAAAATAGGTATGGAAATTTCTTTACCCCAAATACATATCAGTGATGTGTTCAGCAGCATGCAGGGATAAAATACAGTGTGTAAATTATGCTTCAGCTTACCAAGTCGCTATTTCTTTATTTGTATCTGCCATACAAACCCATTCTCTTATTCCTCATACTGTAATACAAACAGTGCTATGTCTGCATCTGCTCAGTCATGTGGCTGTGAACCATGCTACAAAAATGTCTACATGGCCATGTGTCATATGGCCGACCCATGCTGCCCCAGTCAACAGTATTCTTGTGTTGATTATAGATCCGGACAACAGTATTCTTGTACCAATTATACACAAAACAGTATTCTTGTACCAATTATAGACCCAGACAACAGTACTCTTGTGTTAATTATAGACCCAGTCAGCAGTATTCTTGTGTCAATAATAAACCTAGTCAGCATTATTCTTGTGTCAATTATAGGCCCAGCCAGCAGTATTCTTGTGTCAATAATAAACCCAGTCAGCATTATTCTTGTGTCAATTATAGGCCCAGTCAGCAGTATTCTTGTGTCAAATTATAGGCCCAGTCAGCAGTATTCTTGTGTCAATTATAGGCCCAGTCAGCATTATTCTTGTGTCAATTATAGGCCCAGTCAGCAGTATTCTTGTGTCAATTATAGGCCCAGTCAGCAGTATTCTTGTGTCAATTATAACCCAGTCAGCAGTATTCTTGTGTCAATTATAGGCCCAGTCAGCAGTATTCTTGTGTCAATTATAGGCCCAGTCAGCAGTATTCTTGTGTCAATAATAAACCCAGTCAGCAGTATTCTTGTGTCAATTATAGGCCCAGTCAGCAGTATTCTTGTGTCAATTATAGGCCCAGTCAGCAGTATTCTTGTGTCAATTATAGGTCCAGTCAGCAGTATTCTTGTGTCAATAATAAACCCAGTCAGCAGTATTCTTGTGTCAATAATAAACCCAGTCAGCAGTATTCTTGTGTCAATTATAGGCCCAGTCAGCAGTATTCTTGTGTCAATAATAAACCCAGTCAGCAGTATTCTTGTGTCAATAATAAACCCAGTCAGCAGTATTCTTGTGTCAGTTATAGACCCAGTCAGCAGCATTCCTGTGCATTCTGTGCCTGCCCAATCTCTACACAAACCACCACCAAGCAGTAGTAAAGATGTATTAATAGGGTGTCCTGACTGAGACCAGCTCACATTATATCTTATGTATCATAGGAAAGAAAACAAACAAAATAAACCATTGTTGAATATAATAAAACACCTCTCTTGGGTAGAGCCGCAGTGACTCCCTGAAGCTATCTTGCAGAGATGACTTCCCACTACTGACAGAACCTGGCTCTCGCACACAGGTGCAGGGAGCGGGGGACGTAATATTGCCACCCCCACTGGGAAGGCATCCAGAAAGTTAGTGAAGCTTTACACACAACTGCAAAATTCGTAGAAAACAAAGCAGCGAAACTGCCAAACATCTCCACAAGCTATTAAGGTCAGAAAAGCAAATCACTGCTGTAACTAGCATAAACCCATTAGCACTGATAGCTGCCACCCGGTTGCCCAAAGCCCCAGCTCACAGCTGGCTCAAAGGCCAGTCTAGAGCTGAAGCACCCCAAGCCGGCACCTGGTAGGGACGGAGGGAGTCAGGGAGCCACTAGGACTCTGCCAGAAGGTGGCATTTCAACACATTAAATGTTGATTTTCTGGAGCCCATTGTTGGCTCCCTGAAGCTAACCACAGAGAAACCGGAAAACAGAGGACTTACCAAGGAGGAAGATTAATGGCAGGTATTAGTCCAATTAGATCATGAGCAGGAAACCCAGCCTAGCACCACACAAGATCAAGTGGGACCAGGGACATTACCCAAATAATTTCAGGGCCGCCAAGACCCTGTGCATTCAACCTCTAAAACCCCTAATCCAAATATCCACCCAAGACTTCTTTGAGAAGAATGCAGCCAAAGCAGCGTACTGTACTTACAAACATCATAGGCCCGAGGATAGAATGAAGGCTGGCTAGCATTTATGATACTGGTGACAACCTGAGAAACACAAGCCATAGAATAGAAAACCAAGGAAACAGGGTCAACCAAAAAGGCAGAACTGGTGGCATGCAGATAATAACAATGTGCTATCATTGGACACAACAAATGATGCACCCCCGGCTGAACCAACCAAGCATCAATCACCAAAGGACCCCTCCAGAAATCAGCCAACTCATTCTTCACCAGAAAACAGTGAAGAAAGTGGTAAGCAAACAAACCGCCCACCAAGGGCAAAAGAATAAAATCTCCACCTCCGGAGAAGAGCTTAAGGCTCCCTATCTCAACAGCCAGAGGCAGCAGCCAACAAAATTGGAACTTTCAAAAAGCATCCCTGACCGAAGGGGGATTCTTGTATTGAGGAGAAGACAGAAACATCAACACCCCGTGAAGAGATCAAGATGTCTCCGGAGGAGCATAAGCTTGCTAGAGATGAAAGAATGCTTGAGACAATTTGCAGAACAGCACCGAACAAACATCAATTTCCAATGCTTGCAACAGTGGCTCTGCCAGACCCTAACGATAAGTTAATATTGGGCATGAGGTACTAATCTGAGAACAACCACGTCGACAAGGACAGGACCACCTGGACCGAAACCAAAGAAAAACAACAAAGGGACAGATAGTAGCGAAATGAACTCCAGGCAACTTCATAAAGCTGCCATGACGAGAGAGGTGGGACACCAATAATCCACGGAGGGATGCGAGAGGGAGAGGGGTTTAATCATTACACTAGTTTTTCCAACACTGTGGGTAGTGGTGCAGATTAGGTAAAGTGATTTGTACCATTACATGATCCATTTCAACACTACAGGGAGGTGGTGGCGAATACAAGATGCAGATGGTGGTGAAGAAAGGAGAGGAGACCCTAGCAGTGCATGACACCAAGCCGACATCAGGACCTTCTCCTGTGTGGAACACACCCTTCATCTTTGACGTGGCCCAGGACAAGGTCAGTATACCTATAGCAAAGGTCACCATATATTTGGCTATGCCTCAAAAGATGTATGCTACATAGTACAGTGAAAGCTATAGAGGCTATATATCGAGAGGCTTTACAAAAGTATGCCTTTCAATATACTTATACAGCACAAGCTCCTAATTAAAAATGCTTTCTGAAATTTCAGGTGAGGACAGAAAATGATGCAAATAAATGTAAAGTAAATGTAATACCAAAATTTGATATAAATTAATAAAGAAATGGGGATTTTAAAAAAACAGTACTTGACCTGGACTGAGACAGCTTGCAGAGTATTAATGTGTGAAAGATTGCATGGTGTCCCAGTACCATATCTGCCCTCTATGGACCCCAATAAATGATTAAACAGTATGACAAGGTTGGTTCCCAATCAGAGAGTCATGACCCCAATCTTAACATGCTGTATAGACCCAAAGAGTGGGATTGAACCCGGGACCACAGGATCACAAGTCCAGCGTGCTGTCCGCTCGGCTGACCGGCGACCGGGTTCCATGCTGGAGCTGCACACTCAAGTAATGGTCTCACATAGGCAGTGTATGTGAACTTGAGAGCCTCCTCGTTTAGATTTGTAGATGATGATCATATGTGTGCTAACTTCCTGTATGCTCCTGATATTATCCTTTTTGCATGGGCTTCTAGTGCTAGTGTCATTATTATGTCAACTGCCATGTCTTTTTCTCTTATTGTTTCTTATTATTTCTTATGGTATATATAAATACAGGTCTCCTATCTCCCATACCTATTTTCATTACTTTATACAGTACTTATTTGGATTTAATTCTAGCAGCCATGTATCTGCCCACTCCTGAAGTTTGTCAAGATCTTCTTGTAGAACCCTACAGTCCTCTTCAGTTCTTACTCTCCTTTTTAACTTTGCATGGTCATCAAACATTAATATATACAAGCCACTTCCTTTGAGAGGTCATTTACATAAATTAAAAAGAGCAGTGGTACTAGGATAGAACTCTGTGGAACACCATTTTCCACTCCTCTTCCACCTGACATTATCATCTCTGATTATGAACCTTTGTTTCCTCTATCAAGTGCTCCCATACCCAGTCCAGTGCCTTTCCTGTTATACCTGCTTGTCTCTCCATCTTGTACATTAGTCTTTTGTGACAAACTGTACCAAAATGTTTTGGGCAGCATAGGAAGATGCAGGGTACCCATCCTTCCTTCTCTTAGTCTTATAAATTGTCATCCACACTTCCGTGGAAATAAACGTTCCATTCACCTGGGCTCTAGGAAACTTGAACTGTGGACGCCACGTGTGAGGCCGAAGCTCTATTGACCGAGCTATTGAGTAGTCTTAATAAGGAAAGTTTCCAGATGCAGCATCCTGCTGCCAAACTGGATTTTTTTACTTTCCCTGACTGCTACTGAAGCTCAGAGGAATCAGTGACTCACACCCGTGTTATATGAGACTACTCAATAGCTCGGTCGATAGAGCTTCGGCCTCACACGTGTGGGGTTCATAGTTTGAGTCTCCTAGAGCCCAGGTGAATGGAATTCTCTTAGTCTTATTTTGGTGGCCCTATCACAAAAAACCATGTTGTGCTGCTGTTATAAAATTTACTGCCAAAATGTTCTGCAATTCTTTCTCTGATGACTTTTTCTAGAATTTTGCATGATATACATGTTAATGACTGGCTTATAGCTTAGTGCTTCATGGCTATCCCTTTCTTGAATACTGGAACTGTGTTTAAAGATCACTTGAAACTTCTTATTCAGTTCTTCACCAACACAATTCTCCAAGAGTATTTTTCCCTGTCCCTACAGTCTAATCACATGATCTTATACAATTGTTTTCCTCCATATATGGCTGTGCAGTAGCTTAGGTTTTCTCTTTGCTTTTACAGCATTGTCATTCTCAAGCTGCTGTTCTGCTGCCCTCCTGATTCTTGTGTACTCATCCTTAGCCCACTTTAGTACCTCCCTATTTGCCTCTGCATCCACATCCCTATACTTTTTTCCATGCTTTTTTTGTCTTTTCCTCCCCTTTACACTGTTAAACTACAGGCTCCCCATTCTTCTTTCATCCACTTCCCTCCAGAGCGGTATGAACTGTTCCATTACTTCTTTGCATATCTATGTTATGAGTTCCATCATCTCATTTACTGACTTTTCTTCCATTTCAGGTGCCCATTGAACCTCCTTCAGATAGTTCCTGACCCTCCTGTAGTCCCTTTCTTTTGTATTTTCTCTCTTGCTCCTTGTCCTGTTTCAAACTCTTTTTTTTTAGTTCTATTGTGTAATGAAACTTGATAATACAGTGGTCACTGGCTTTTAGTGGTACCTCATATTTTAAGTTGTCTATACTATACTTTATCTTCATTGTGGGTAAACACCAAATCTAGGGTAGGTGGTAGATCACCTCCTCTTTCTCTTGTTAGTTCCTTCACATGCTGTCACAGAAACTGTTTGGTGTGTAGTGTCCATAGTTCTTTCACTCCATGTTTCATCTACAGTGTGAGGACTCCTTGTTGACCAGCCTATTTCCCTGTGGTTAAACCCCCCCAAGCATTAGGATCTTTCCCTCTGGCTCTCATTGCTACTGTGGCTGCCTTTTAATTTATCTTCAGCCATATATCATTGCATTTATCATTCTTCCCTTGGCTTTCCTGCAGTTAATGGAGGGTTATAAATAACACGTACTACTATCTTCATAGGCCTCACTATTAACATACTTAGTATGAAATCTTGCTGGTTGATTTCCTCCAGAATCAATATCATAAAACTAGAGTGTTGTTGTATCAGTAGAGTTACTCCATCCCACCAACACCCCTCTATCCTCTCTTATGACCTGGTATCCTCTTGGGAATATTGCATCCTCTCTTATGAGGTTACCTGCTGAGAACAACTGTTAAAGTGTGTCAGTGCTTGTTTATCTGTAATACTGTATACATGAATAATTTAATGAATGGTCAGGTGATCATTTGGTTATATTTATAACATTCCTTCACTATATTTACCCCATTATTTCCATATGGTGATACCTCCCCACCTAATGAAAATGGGACACAGGGTCTTGTAATGATAATGTATTTACCATATGCATGAGAAAATACTGAGGCTGTACAATTAGATCAAACACGCATCCTTCAATATTTTCCCAGATTTATCACATTCTTGTGATTGTGTTGTGTACAATATGCATGTTTTTCTTTATCGCCTATTCCTCATCTTGCTCCTACCTTCAGCTGAGTGAACATTGGATTGAGATGAAGCTGGTTCGTCTGGGCATCATGAAGAAGACCATCATCTTAGGACATACTTTCTTGGGCTTAGAAACCACTCCTACCGGGTCCCAACACTGGCAGGACATTATAGACTCGATGGACCAAGAAATCACAGCCTGGCATCCTATCATCCTTCACAACTGAAGTCATCCTATGTTGAGGAACAACTGTTGAAAATAATCTTGATCAACGAGTCTTCCGGAAAGTCAATGTGCATTACTAAGGCCATTTAAAATGAAATGCAATAATGCTGACTTTGTGGGTGGGCATCCTATACCAGGGACCATTATAGAGTTCCAAGAGCATCCTACGTTATATGATAAGTCAATTGTTTAAAATTAATGAAATAGACAACATAAATAGCCTCACAATAATACATCAAGTTTTTCATATATTTATTTTTGTATTTGTTTATATATACAAGAATTCATTTATTCTTGTACAGCCACTAGCACATATGGCATTTTGGGCTGTCACACATAGCAGCTGTCCAACTCCCAGGTACCTATTTACTGCTAGATGAAGTTATCAATGGTGGTTCCTGGTCATTTTAACTACTGATCAATATATAAAATTTACCTCCAGAACTTTTCAATTAAGCTAATGTATAATGCCAAATAGTCTAAGTTATAAAAGATAAGCTATAAAAGCTGGTTTAGATTGTAATCTTCCCGGTGTGTCCATTACAAGCTTGAGGCAGCCGTCCTCAACTTGAAGCACCGGGAGCGTTTATCTTTTCCTGAGGCGAGGCGCCAGGTTCGCCGGCTCCCGCCTTATGCTAATATCTCTTATGCTCGCGTGTTGCGCTCTTCCTCTCCTCGTCCTTCCCGCCTTCCTCAGACTCACAACCGTTTCCAGGCCTTGGACCCTGATGCGCCCACTGCCCCCTCCTCTGTCCCTTTGGGTTCTCTCCCGAAGGATCCTCCTCCTGGTCCTCTGTCTGGGGTTCCCCTTCCTTCTACCCGGTCTGTCGTGTCTTCTGTGTCTCCTTCCTCGTCCCCCTCCGATCCTCCTTCCCATCCTCTTCCTCCATCTATCGGCTCTCCCCGCCGCCTGTCGGTGCGGGCGGATGTCCATCGCTCTCCTAACGGCCGTCGTGTGTGCTCTCGTTCGGCTTCTCCTGTTGAGACACTGGAATCCGTTGCCCGGTACGTAGTTGCTGGGACACCGGTCTCTTAAAGTCAGAAGCGTAAGCCTGGCTCCTCTCCTTCCTCTTCCCCGGCGGGTAAGAAGGCTTCGCTTTCTTCCTCAGCTCCTCCTTCTGGCTCTGTTGCTCCTTCCCCTCCCGTTTCAGTGCTTGCGCCCCCTGTTCCTGCTATGGAGGTTTCTTTGGCCCCTGCTTCCCTTTCGGTTGCTGCTCTTGCTGGGGTGCGCTCCTCTCTTTCTACTCCCCCTCTTCCTGCTGCTGTCCTTGACTGCTCCTCTCCGTTGTCTCCTCCTCCTCCTCCTCCTCCTCCTCCGGACCCTGCCCGCCCACCTCTGATCTGTTCTCCCGTTTCCTTCCCTCCGTCTTTGCTCAGTTTACCCATGCCCCCTAACCCTGACTTTGCTGACCCTGATCCCGACCCTGATATTCTTTAACGTGCTCTGTTGCTCTTTCGCCTTTGTTTCTTCCTTGTTCTCTGTTTTTGTCCTTTCTCTTCTCGTCGTTGTCCATTCTTCAATGGAACGTTCGAGGTTATTACGCCAATTTCCTCGAACTCCAACTTCTGGTTTCGCGGTTTTCGGCCCTTTGTGTCTGTCTCCAGGAGCCGATGCTTGGTGCTCGTCCTGGTCGTTTTCGTGGCTATTCCTTTCTCTCCCCCCCCCAGCCATTGCTGGGGCTTCTAATTCTTCTGCTCTCTTGATTCGGGCTGATGTTCCCTTTGTTCCTTTACTTTTTCCTTCGCCTCTCCATTGTTCTGCTGCTTGTATCTTTGTGGGGAAATGGTACACAGTTTGTTCCATTTATCTCCCCCCGAGTGTCCCGCTCTCTCTTCCTGATTTGAAACACCTCCTAGACTCCTTGCCGGAGCCTGTGCTCCTGCTGGGTGACTTCAATTGTCGTCATTCTCTTTGGGGTGACGTTCTGACGAATACCCGGGGTCGCCTCCTTGAGCCGTTTCTCCTCTCTTCTTCCCTGTCTCTTCTGAATTCTGGTGAGCCCACTCATTTGGACTCTCGAACTCGCACCCTTTCTTGTCTTGATCTTTCTCTCTGCTCTTCTTCTCTTTACTTAGATTTCACATGGCAGGTTCTTGATGACCTCCATGGAAGTGATCATTTCCCCATCCTTGTTTCCTTTTTCTCTTTTCGCCCTTCCCTCTCTTTCCCTAGGTGGCAGTTTGCTAAGGCGGACTGGACCCTATTTTCCCTCAGTGCTACTCTCTCTGACCTCTCCCTTCTGCCCCTCTCTCGCGCTCTCCTCCTTTTTCATGACACTGTCTTCGACGCTGCCCTCCGCTCTATTCCTCGCTCTTCCTCTCGGGGTCCACGGAAGTGCGTTCCCTGGTGGAATGCGGACTGTGCTCGGGCTGTCCGCTGTAAGCGTGCAGCCTGGAAGAAGCACCGCCGTAGGCAGACGACCGATTCTTTTCTTTTCTTTCGGAAAGCGAGTGCGGTGGCCCGTAGGGCCATCCGTACGGCTAAACGTGAATGTTGGGCATCTTATGTCTCGACAATTACGTCCGAAACCCCTCTGGCCCAGATCTGGAAGCGTATCCGCAAGATAGCGGGTAAGTTCGTTCCCGATGTTTCACCGGTCCTTCACCTCCATGATACTCTTGTGGCGGACCCGTTGCAGGTCGCTTCCGAACTGGGTTCCCACTTTTCTTCTGTTAGCTCTGGTCTTCATCTTCCCCAATCTTTCCTTCTTCGTAAACCTGTCCTTGAGTCTCGTCCTTTAGATTTCTGCACTCATCTTCAGCTTCCCTATAATGATCCCTTCTCTCTCTCTGAACTTCGTTCTGCCCTGGCCCTCTGCGGTTCTACGGCGGCGGGCTCCGATGGTATTCATTATGAGATGCTTCGCCATCTCCCTTCGAGCACGTCTCAGTATTTACTGAGTCTGTATAATCGGATCTGGGAGTCGTCGTCAGTCCCTGAGGACTGGCTCGATGCCGTTGTCCTCCCTGTTCGCAAACCGGGGTCTCTGGGTACTTCCCCTAAGGACTTTCGCCCTATTGCTCTCACAAGTTGTGTCTGCAAACTCTTTGAACGTATGGTTAACGTTCGTCTGATGTGGTTCCTGGAACACCATCACCTCCTCTCCCCTTCTCAATTTGGTTTCCGCAAGTGCCGCAGCACGACAGATGTCCTGGTGAACTTGGAGGTCTATATACGTACTGCTTTTGCTGCGAAGACCTCCGTTGTTGCCGTCCTTTTTGACCTAGAAAAGGCTTACGACACCAATTGGCGTTATCATATCCTATCTCAACTTCATTCTTTTGGCCTTCGTGGTCATCTCCCTCTCTTTCTCTGCAGCTTCCTCTCTCGTCGTTCCTTTCGGGTGCGCCTTGGTACCGCTCTCTCGTCGTTCCTTTCGGGTGCGCCTTGGTACCGCTCTCTCTCCCTCTTTTCAGCAATACGAAGGTGTGCCCCAGGGTAGTGTTCTGAGCACTACTCTTTTTCTGGTTGCCCTCAATGGTCTTCTTTCCTCTCTTCCTTCTGGTGTCTTCTCCGCTCTCTATGTCGATGATCTTACCCTTTGTTGTCAGGGTGATGATTCGCCTCTCCTTCAACGCCGGCTTCAAGTTGCGATTGATGCCGTGTCGTCTTGGGCCACAGGTCATGGCTTCAAGTTCTCTACTTCTAAGACTTGTGCCATGACTTTTACGCGGAAACGGGTTGTTCTTCGTCCCTCTTTGTCACTTTATGGTCATCCCCTTGAATACAAAGATTCCGCGAAGCTTTTGGGGTTATTCCTTGACACTCGTTTGTCTTGGTCTCCCCATATCTCTTACCTCCGTGTTGAGTGCTCTAAGTCCCTTACCCTCCTTCGGGTCTTGTCCCATACTTCTTGGGGGGCAGATAGGCGCACTCTACTTGCTTTACATTCCTCTCTCGTCCTGTCTAAGCTCGATTATGGTTGCCCTGCTTACTCGTCTGCTTCTCCTTCTACTCTTCGCCGTCTTGATGCTTTGCACCATACTGGGTTGCGCCTCAGTTCTGGTGCCTTTCGTTTGACTCCCGTCCTTAGCTTGTATGTTGACACTGGCTTCCTGTCTCTCCAGGACCGCCGTGATCGCTACTGTCTTCGCTATCTTGCGCGGTCCTTGCAACATCCTTCCTCTCGTCTCTGTCGTGCTTTAACTTTTACCCCTCCTGCGGTTCCTGTTCCTCTTCACCACCTCCCTCTTTCTGTCCGGTTATCTCGCCTACAGGATTCTCTTTCCGTTCGTATTTCTGATGTTTCTCCTCGTGTTGTTCCTTCTTTGCCCCCGTGGAGGGTCCCTCTTCCGCGGTTTTGTACATCCTTGACTCGTATCACTAAAGCTTTTACCCCTCCTACAGTTCTAAAACGCCTTTTCCTCGAGCACTTTTCTTCTGACTCCCGCTCCGTTTCTGTCTTCACCGATGGGTCTAAGTCAGCGGACGGTGTTGGCTACTCTGTTGTTTTTCCTGATCGCACTTATATGTGTCGCTTGCCTCCGGAGACTAGCATCTTTACAGCGGAACTTTATGCTATTCTCTATGCTCTTCGTCTCCTGCTTTCTCGTTGTCAGTCTTCCTTTGTGGTTGTTGTTGACTCTCGTAGTGCCCTCATGGCTCTCGGGTGCTTTAATCCAGTTCATCCGGTAGTTGTCGAGATCCAGCATTGGCTGTTTCTCGTTCACAGTAAATTTAAGTCGGTTGAGTTTTGTTGGGTTCCCAGCCATATTGGCGTGTCTTTCAATGAGCGTGCGGATGCTGCCGCTAAGGAAGCTGTCCGCTCTTGTCCCATCTCTCGTAAAGGCATTCCGTATTCCGACTTTTACCCGGTTATCCATTCCTCAGTCCTTACCCGTTGGCAGGCTTGTTGGTTGTCTGTTACTGGTAACAAGCTACGTACTCTTAAATGTTGTGTTTCCTCGTGGCCGTCCTCCTTCCACCGTAACCGGCGGTGGGAAACAGCTCTAGCGAGGTTGCGTATTGGCCATACTCGCTTAACCCATGGTCACTTGATGGAGCGCCGCCCTGCTCCTTATTGTCCTAGTTGCATTGTCCCTCTTACGGTCGTGCATGTCCTTCTTGAATGTCCTGACTTCCAGGACGAGCGTGTCTTGCTTTCCGACCGCCCCTCGCGGTCACCTGTCCCTCGATAGAATTCTTGGTGACTCGGATACTTTTAATATCGTTCGCCTTATGCGTTTTTGTTCTCGTATTGGCATCCTTGGTGATATTTAGCGCCCTCTGATTATTTTGCGTATTTGATGGTGCTACATAGCCTTCCCGGTTTGGTGCCTTCTTTTGATAATTACTTACTTCCCGGTGAGGCACACCAGTTGTCCCAAGCTTGGTCCGTGCTTGTTGGCAACAATATTGTTTGTATTTTAACGAGTTACTTTATGCTTTTATGTTCATTCACTTGAACTGTCCGGTATAATGACAGCCTACATAACCTTACTCAGTAATTCATGGTCT